AGTAGTAGTAGTAGTAGTAGCAGTAGCAGTAGTAGTAGTAGTAGTAGTAGTAGTAGTAGTAGTAGTAGTAGTAGTCGTAGTCGTAGTCGTAGTCGTAACCGCAGTCGTAGTAGTAGTAGTAGTAGTAGTAGTAGTAGTAGTAGTAGCAGCAGTAGTAGTAGTAGTAGTAGTAGCAGCAGTAGTAGTAGTAGTAGTAGTAGTAGTAGTAGTGGTAGTCGTAGTAGTCGGAGTAGTCGCAGGAGTAGTCGTAGTGGGAGGAGGAGGAGGAGCAGGAGGAGGAGGGCCAGTGTAAACGTAAGTGGCATCAACCATCTTCAATCACACCCTCCCTGCAAGATCCCTCCTCATATGCCCCTGCACGGGATCATTCCCACAGGAAGTTGCAGTCGAGGGACAACCGTGCAAACATCTTGAAGCGTGCTCAACATCAATTCCTGGACTTGCGCCGCGAGACAACCTGACTGTTACGTTTTTGTGATTCCGAACCGTCTCAGATCACCATTCCTGGGACTTCAACACGGGGATTCACCGTAACAGTTGCGCCTCAAACTCCCGAATCGTTCCTGCACTCCATGTCTTCTCCGTTAGTCATGAGAAGCAGTGAAATTTTTGCGCATGTGTAGAACGAGTGTGCGTGGCCCCACGGCGAGAGCCACATTTTGAAACGGGACCGCCGAAAATCTTTGGAAAGCATGCATATTTGTAAAACGAGTGTGCGCGGCGCTAGGGCGAAAGCCACGTTTTGAAAACGAACAGCCATCAATCCGCGAATCTCGCACATCTTGAAAACGAATGTGCGCGGTGCTAAAGCGCGAGCCACATTTCAAAACCGACCTGCCCTCAATTCGCGAGGCCCTTGTACATTTGTAAAACGAATGTGCGCGGCGCTACGGCGGAAACCACATTTTGAAAACGAGCCGCCCTGGATCCGCGAATCTTTGGCAATGTTGTAAATCGAATGTGCGCGGTGCAAAGGCGCGAGCCACACTTTGAAAACGGACAGCCATCAATCCGCGAATCTCGCACATCTTGAAAACGAATGTGCGCGGTGCTAAAGCGCGAGCCACATTTCGAAACCGACCTGCCCTCAATTCGCGAGGCTCTTGTACATTTGTAAAACGAACGTGCGCGGCGCTACGGCGGAAACCACATTTTGAAAACGAGCAGCCCTCAATCCGCGAATCTTTGGCAATGTTGTAAATCGAATGTGCGCGGTGCAAAGGCGCGTGTCACATTTTGAAAACAACCCGCCTTCAACCCGCGAAGCTCACACATCTCTAATCGGATGAGCGCGGTGCTTTGGCGAGAGCCACAGTTCGAAGACAATCCGCAGTCAACCCGCGAAACTCGCACATCTCTATAACGAATGTGCGCGGTGCCAAAGCGCGAGACACATTTCGAAAACCCGCCGTCAATCCGTGAAGTTTGTACAAATTTGTGCAGTGAATGTGCGCGGCGCTTGGGCGAGAGCCGCATTTTGAAAACGAGCCGCCCTCAATCCGCGAGGCTCTTGCACATTTGTATAACAAAGGTTCGCGGCGCTAAGGCGCGAGCCACATTTTGAACATTTCCCGCCCTCACTCCATCAAACTCTTGCAACCTTTTACAGAGAATGTGCGCGGCGCTAAGGCGAGAGCCATATTTTGAAAATGACCGCCCTCAATCTGCGAAGCTCCTGCAAATGTGTAAAAGGAGTATGCGCGTCGCTAAGGCGAGAGCCACATTTTGAAATTTGCCCGTTGTTAATCCATGAAGCGCTTGCAAATCTGTAAATCGAATGTGCGCGGCGCTGAGGCGAGGGCCACACTTCAAAAACACACCCGCCCTCCATTTGTGAAACTGTTGTCAGTTTTCAAGCATCAGGGTCGTACGTGGTGAAGAAGTATCAGGCGAAACGCCCGGCCAGCCCTTTTGACCGGCTTCGGAGATGAGGAGGAGGAAGAGGAAGAGGAAGAAGAGAAGGAGGAGGAGGAGCAGGAGGAGGAGGATGAGGAGGAGGAGGGAAAGGGGGAGGAGGAGGTTGAGGAGGAGGAGGAGGAGGAGAAGGTTCAGGAGGAGGAGGAGGAGGACTCACGTAACTTTCTTGTGAGAACATCTTGGTACCGTTGGCACATCTCTTGGGGTCTTCTTGGGGGCCCTCTTGGGTCTTGGGGTCTTCTTTGGACTGTCTCTGGGCCCTCTTGGGGCGCTCCTAGGGCTATCCTGGGCGGTTCTGGGGACCTCTGGAGGTTTCGGCTCTGGCGGGTCTGGGGCAAGCTCCCGAAGCATCCGCGGTGTTGCAACACACTGTCCCGCCCCAAGCCCCCTCCTCACGAGTCCTTACATGTATCCCTCTCCGCTGTGGAAAGCGTTCTCCGTGAAGGACGAGCGCCCAGAGGGTTTTGCCACTCAGGCGAGGCCTCGGAGGAAAGGGTGGAGCAAGAGGAGGTGCACGTCACGAGCGGTAGACATCTTGCGTGCGCCTTTGCTTGTGTGTCCGAATGCCTGCACAAATGGCTGGATGCGCAGGCACGTGGATGGTTTTCACCCGCTCGCGTGATCAGATTTGTCCGAAAGCTAGTCCGCCTTGATTCTCTTTGAGGTAGCCGTTCGAATCAGTCGAGTGGATACCCAGATGCATTTTGGCTGCCTCCATGATTCCTCAGGCTTACGCCACATCCGCCGACACCTTGATTCGGTACGGGTGCCAACTCAGAATCTCGTAGGGATGTCGGGACACTCTTCCGGGCACTGGAGACTCACTATTTTGGGTCGCTCTCCTGGGCACTCGGGTCTCCCTCGGGTTGTCAGTGCGGCCTCTTCGAGCTCTCTTGGGTTGGACTCTTGGTATTTTCGGTTCGCGTTTCTGGTTGTGCCTCTGATTGGGCTCTCTTGCGGCTTCCTGGGTGCGTCTTGGGTTGTCTTGGGCGCTTCCTGGAAGCGTCCTGGGCAATGTGGATGCGATCTTTGGGTCTTCTCGCGCCGTTTGGAAGAGAGCCAAAGGCGAACATGTTCCGAAAAGCTGAAATTACGCTACCGAGGAACCCCACATACTGATTTTATGTCTTGTGTGAACCGCGCTACCACTACCACCGCCGTCATGCTCTCAGGTGCCCCCTGTGGTCGTTGAAAGGAGGGGGAGGACGTGTGGGGGGAGAGGAGGGGTTGAGGAGTCATCTGTGACGGTCATATCCGGCGTCGCCTGGCCCTTGGATACGAGAGGTAATACGCAATCCCGCACTAGAGGCTATGCCTGGACGACCCTGGCACGCATAGGGAGACCACCCCCTGCGCACCCCCTCTGGTGTTGAGAAAATGCCACGCCTGCAATGCCTGGACGACCCTGGCACGCATAGGGAGACCACCCCCTGCGCATCCCCCCTGCTGTCGAGAAAATGCCACGCCTGCCACGCTCTCCGACACTGGCACGCATAGGGGCCGCGGTGAGAGACCACCCCACCCCCCCTGGTGTCGAGAAAGTGCCACGCCTGTCACGCTCTCCGACCCTGGCACGCATAGACGCCGCGGTGAGAGACCACCCCCTGCGCACCCGCCCTGGTGTCGAGAAAGTGCCACGCCTGCCACGCTCTCCGACCCTGGCACGCATAGACGCCGCGGTGAGAGACCACCCCCTGCGCACCCTCTCTGGTGTCGAGAGGAGAAAGTGCCACCCGCCAACGCCTTCCGACACTGGCCGCATAGGCCGCCGCGGCGAGAGGACAGCCCCAGCGCACCCCCCCTGCTGTCGAGAAAGTGCCACGCCTGCCACGCTCTCCGCCCCCCCCCCCGCATCCGCCTCTCTACCCTGCACGCCACAGACGCGCGGTGAGAGACCACCCCCTACGCACCCCCCCTGCTGTCGAGAAAGTGCCACGCCTGCCACGCTCTCCGACCCTGGCACGCATAGGGGCCGCGGTGAGAGACCACCCCCTGCGCACCCTCTCTGGTGCCGAGAAAGTGCCACGCCTGCCACGCTCTCCGACCCTGGCTCGCATAGACGCCGCGGTGAGAGACCACCCCTTGCGCACCCCCTCTGGTGTCAAGAAGGTGCCACGTCTGCCACGCTCTCCGACCCTGGCACGCACAGGGACCGCGGTGAGAGACCACCCCCTACGCACCCACCTCTGCTGTCGAGAAAGTGCCACGCCTGCACGTCTTTGCGCCTCATACCCTGGCACGCACAGAGACGCCGCGGTTTGAGAAGAGACACAACCCCTGCGCACCCCACTGAGGTGTCGAGGTGCCACGCTTGCCACGCTCCCCGACCCTGGCTCGCATAGACGCCGCGGTGAGAGACCACCCCCTTGCGCACCCCCTCTGGTGTCGAGAAAGTGCCACGCCTGCCACACTCTCCGACCCTGGCTCGCATAGACGCCGCGGTGAGAGACCACCCCTGCGCACCCTCTCTGGTGTCGAGAAAATGCCGCGCCCGTCACGCTCTCCGACCCTGGCTCGCATAGGCGCCGCGGTGAGAGACCACCCCCTGCGCACCCCCCCTGGTGTCGAGAAAGTGCCACGCCTGCCACGCTCTCCGACCTTGGCACGCATAGACGCCGCGGTGAGAGACCACCCCCTGCGCACCCTCTCTGGTGTCGAGAAAGTGCCACTCCGAGCGGTGCTGTGAGGAGGAGGGGAGGTGTGAGGTGAGACGCGGGTGCGACGCGGCAAGGAAGAAAACCATAACCCCACGAATCATGTGGGGAAAAAGGGAAAGTCCATCACGCGACGAGGCGCAGATGCCAGACATGTACGTTTTCCTAAGGGGATGGGACGAGGTTTCCCTCTTGTGGGCTCTCTTGGGGGGCCTTTTGGAGATCATGTAGGACGTCTTGGGGGTATTTTGGGCTGTATGGAGGCCGCCAGACGATATTTCAGCGTCTCGAGGTCTTCTGGGAGCGTCTTGGGTGCGTCTTCTTGCTCTCTTGGCGCGTTTTGGGGCTCTCAGTCCTCCCATAGCGCGTTCGGGCCGGGCCGGGGGGGGTCAAAGTGCCAGTTTGGGGTCCCGGGGGCGGGACTTAGGGGGGACCCATCTCACACGTCTAGAGACCCAGAAGATGTCGGCGGAGAAAGAGTACGTATGCGTTTCGTCCGAGACATCGTCGGCAAGCCGAGTGGGCTCCTCCTCTTCCTCCTCCTCCTTCTCCTTCTTCTCCTCTTGCTCCTCCTCCTCCTCCTCCCCCTTCTCCTCCAGAGGAGGGGGTCATGCAAAGGAAGGGAGTTTGGTGATGTTTCAGTTTGGAGGCCAAGGCAGGGAACATATCATGGAGGCGGTATACAGGCGGTGAGTCGAATTGCCGGGGATGACATTGTCGGTACGGTCGAGCTCCGTGACAGTGTCTCGCAGCCTTCGGCCCGTCCCCCTGCCGTGCCTGGGTTGTGAGTATGAAGCGTCGGGAATGTCCGTAGGAATCTCGCGGGGAGGGTTCCCGCGAGCCTCTGGGCGTCAGTTTTGAAGGCTCCTGGACGCCGTTCCAGAGCCTCTTTTCAGCCTCTTGGAGACCTTTGGGGCCTTTCGTGTGCCTTTTGGAGGCCTCAGGGCTTCCTGGTGGCCACTTGTGGCCTTTCCTGAGGCCGTCTTGGAGCGCTTGGGTGCCGTCTTGGGCGCCGCTGGGGCCGTCTTGGAGCTCTCTTGGGCCGTGTGGAGGGAATCTTTGGGAAGTTTTGGGCCGTCTTGGAGCGGTTTTGGGTGCCTCGCGGGTGTTCGCCCACGCCGCGAAGGCGGAAAAGGCGTGTATGCGAAAAGTGTACGATCCCCATGGAAATTCGACGATTTCGGCTTCTTGGGGGCTTCCTGGGAAGCCCCTTGGAGGCCTCTTGGGGAATCATCGCGGCTTCCTGGGCGTCTTGGGTCGATTTTTCGGCGATTCGGGGCTGTCTTGGGAGGCTTGACGGGGTGTCTTGGAACTCCAGGCGGGGCCTGATGAGTTCGGGGGTGGGTCGGATCCGACGAGGGGGGAAGTAGTCAAATTGCCAGTTTGGGTCCCAGGGGGGGCTTATGGGGGGGGAATCAGTTTGACTATCTTGAAGCTGTCCTCTCCACTTCTCGTGCAAACATCCCACCCTCCCACCCGTAACTTGGTCGCAAGACATCTTCAGACCACGACGGTGGATACCAAATGGCACTTGGCGACGACAGCGACGCCGACGACGACAGCGACAACAACGACGACGTACACGTCGCCGACGACGACTACGACGACACCGACGACGGCTCCGACAGCTTCGACGTCGACGACGACGATGACGACGACGACGACGACGGCGACACCGACGACGACAATGACGACGACGACGCGGACGACGACGACGCCGACGGCGACGACGACGTCGCCGACGACGACGACGAAGACGACGACGACGTCATTAAAGAATACGACGACGACGAGTGAGGAGGGAGGACGACGACGGCGACAACGACAACAACGACGAGGGAGGAGGGAGGACGGCGACGACGCGAACGACGAAGAAGGAGGGAGGACGGCGACGCCGACGACGACAACGACGAGGGAGGAGGGAAGACGACGACGACGACGACGACGGCGACGAGAAATGGGGAGGCGACAACGAGACGGCCGACTGACGGACGACGACACGAGGGAGGAGGAGGAAGGACGGACCACCGCGACAACGACGACGAAACGACACGACGCCAAGAGGACGACGGAAACGACCACGACGCCAAAGAGAAAGACAGAGGACGACGTAGGCGACGACGACGACAACGACGACGCGGGAGGAGGGAGGACGGCGACGACGACGACGACGACGACGACGACGACGACGACGACGCAAGAGCGCGCGCGCACGCGCTTTTTTTTTTTTTTTTTTTTTTTTTTTGTTTTTTTTTTTTTTTTTTTTTTTTTTTTTTTTTGTTTTTTTTTCTTTTTTTTCTTTTTTTGTTTTTGTTTTTTTTTTGTTGAAATCCGTGTTGCGAAACCTTGTGTTTTTGTAGGTTTTTTGGACACGATTTTGAAATCCTTCCGAAACCGATGGGTTTTGAAGGATTTCGGCATACGCGCGCGACGACGCGCGCGTCTGCACTTCGTTTCATTTTTTGCAGAGGATTCTCGCGACGGCACACGCGCAAGGGCGTTCGACACAGATGCGGACATGCGCGCGCGCGAAGCCCGTTTGGATTTTTTGTAAAAAACCAAAAAATCTGGAGAAATATGGTTTCTCAAGATTTCGCATGATTTTGCGAAACCTTGTGTTCTTGTATGTTTTGTGGAAGCTCGATTGCGAAATCCTTCCGACACCGTTTTTTTTTTTTTTTTTTTTTTTTTGTTCTCTCTCTTTTTTTTCTGAGGATTTCGGCATGCGCACGCGACGACGCGCGCGTGTGCACTTCGTCATTTTTTTGTAAGGTATTATCCCCGCGTGTTGTTTTTTACAAAGGAACCTCAGAGGGGGTCGATACCGGCCCCCTGGGATGGTGTAGATTCATATTCAGGATGGACATGTGGTCATAATCGTATATGATTTACATACCCGACAGGGGGGCCGATAACGCCGGGGGGGGGTAGAGTAGATTCTTTTTTTAGAAAAGAAAATCAATCTCACACGCTTCGGGACCCACAAGGGGTCGGCGGATTGGCCTACCCATTGGCTCTGTAGTGCAAGTGGTCAGGCTTGCGGACTTGTCGTAAGTGCGGTTGGTACGCAAACGCCAGTTGGGAATTCGGGGCACTCGCGCCTTTTACAGCGCGCGCTAGCCAACCGCTGCGGCCTTGCAGGCGGGGTTTTGCTTTCTGCCTCGGGCACAGGCGGGGGCAAAGGACATGTGATGTGTGAGCGCTAGGAGGGCCAAGCCAAGACGCCAGAAGTCGGCGGCGAACCCAGGGGTAAGGCAGAGGGGGCCGACGTGCACCCAGCGTGAAGTGAGCCAGGCGCTGGCCACGAGTAAGCCACGAATGTTCGACGCAAGCGAGGCTCACGCACGACGTTGCGGGCCCCAGTCGTATACACCACCGCCACCTCCATTCCCCCTTTCCTCCTCCACCCTCATCTTCCACTCCTCTTTCCTGGGGGAGGGAGGGGATCAAGGAGGTGGTGGTGGTGGTGGTGGTGCATGCCTTCTCAGGCCCCGCAGATGTGGCACGCCATACGTAGCGCCCGGAGTAAGCTGTGCCGCACGAGCCCCAGGCTGGAGTCCCAGGCTGGAGTGCTGCTGCTCCTGCTCCTGCTGCTGCTGCCGATGCTCGGGGCGAGGGGCGTGCTCCGAGAGCGGGGATGCCCGGATGCGGAGCTCGAGCGAGGCGATGAGGCACGGGGCCTCGGAGGGTCCTCTACGGGGGGGGGGGTCCTTTGGACGACTCCAGGGGGCCCCCAGGCTTCCCTCGCCGTGAAACAGTCACGACGGGAGGTTGGTCGCCATTTCCGGATTTCAGGGACCCTCACGGGTCCTGGGTGCCGCCAGGAAACGAATCGAAATGGAACACCAGGCCTCTAGAAGGGATCCAGATCTTTGGGGAGCCACGATGCGAAAAACAAATCGCGACGTCGGATGTCTGGACCTTTAGGTAGGTTGCCTTCGTCTCAGGGTTTGGGACCATGGGAAGGGGTCTTCGTTCCGTTTGAAAGATCCTGGGTCCTCTCGGAATCGTCCTGGGTTGCTCGTGGTCTGTTTTGAGACTTTCTTGTGACCCTTTGGGAGGCCCCCGCGGCCATCGAGTGGGCGTCGGGGGCGGCATCAACAGCGGTGGCTTGAAATATGCAAGCGGCATTTTTTTGTATTCTCTTGGGCCTCTCAGAAGACCTCTGGGGAAGTCTTCTTCGGGGTCTCGTGGGGCCCTAGTGGGCTTGGAACCGTCTTGGGCAGTCTCGAAGCCGCCTTGCAGCCGTGTTGGGCTGCCACGGTCTTGGGCCAGCCTTGGTCGGCCACTTTTTTTTTGCTCTGACAAAGACCAGCCGCACGCGTACCAGCCTGCTTAAAAATACGATTGAGGCCAGCGACGGAGACGCTATTCGACCCAGCTCCTCGCAAAGCGGGAGAGGTCGTCGTCGTCGTCCGAGTCGCTGGCAGAAGGGGGTAGGTGGAGGGGGGAAGGCTTCTTAGAACCATCCCTGCTTCTTAGAAGCGGCGGGCCTTGTTTGTAGATTGAAGGCCCGCGCCTTCTAAGAAGCAGTCTCCCTCTAAGAAGCCCTCCCTCTACCCCCTTGTACGCGCCGCCAACTTGGAGTGTCCAGAGGGCCATCTTGGGGCGGTCTTGGGCGGTCTTGGCGCCCTCCTCGAGCCTCTTGCGACTTCTGGGAGGGTCTCTTGTGGCGCCTCTAGGGACCTGACGGCTTCTCGAGACGGGACGATCAAGCGTGGTATATTCACAGAACGTTGCAGACCTCAGAGGCTTCTGCTGGAAGGCCTTCTTTAGAGACCTCTTGGAGACCTCCTGGGGGTCTCGTGTAATCTTTTGGGGGCCTCTTGGATACCTTCCGCCCGTCTTCGGGACGACTTGGTCGGGGTCGTCCTGGGTCGCTTTGAAGCCGTCTCTGCGCGTCTTGTGGGCGGTCTTTAGTCGCCTTGGAGCTCGTGTTAGGCTACGCCCTATTGATGGCATTGTGGGCTCTAATCAGAACGTCTGAGATGGGCAGTGCGCCAAGGGGGCGGCCCATAGAAACTACACGCTCGCAATAGGCAGGATGTAGTACATGGGCATACATCCTCTGGCGAGAACGGGCGTTACCGGATTGGGGAGTTTCCGCGCTGACGCCTCGTGGGAATTAGCTACCCGGTTAGCCATTCCCAGGCGGCGCTGGCGCCAAGAGTGACCGTACCACCAGGGCGCGGTGTGGGGGAGCCAGCCCCGAACGGGCATTCGCCGTAATTTCACTGCTCGCTGCCAATAGGCAAGCATAGCCTAGCCATGTGTTGCCGATCATATGTCCTTGTACAGCTAGTCGCTCGTTCATGATGCCTCGTAGCCCAGACTGAATGCGCCAATGTTGCCATCGGAATCTGAGCTGCCAGTAGGCGGAAAAAGGTCGGGAGCTCATCTCTACCACTCTTTCTTCACCACTTGTGTCGGCTACCTCCTGTTCGTCTCTGCTTACTTCCTCTTTTAATGCCGCCTGTCCTCGTTGAACCCTTCGCCAGGCAACACCTGTTTGGGACCATGGGCGGCGTCCGAGACTCGATCCTTTGGCACAGTGGTTTTTGCTGCTTGTGGTGATCCAGGTCGTGGGAAGCGTTGCAGAGATCCGGGTGGCCAGCGGGGTTTCGCTCACGAGATTGGTCATTCCCGAGACGATGTCGGTATGAGTGTGGGCAGTACTTCGGAGTGAGGGGTTTCTGCCCATGCTGAGCGCGACACGCGATTGGTTTTGTGGAGAGCAGCGTCGACTACAAAGCAAACGGCCCTTTTCTGGATGCACCAATGGTCCGCGAACACATTCCGCACCCCTGTGGCTGTCGCCCGAATACCATCGCCCTCGCTGGTCCTCTGCAAAGCTCGGGCCACCGCAAGGTGTACTTCCTGGAAGTCTTCTGTTGCGCCGCTGCAGGAAATTGTATGCTTCCGTGCAGTTTCGTCGTCACATGAAGGAGGACGAGGGAAACTGTATGCCACGATGGCGTCGGCGCCCATGTTTGGACGGAGAGGGCACATGCAAGCCGATGTCGCTTACGTGACGAACAGCTTGTACTGAAGCCGCGTCGATTTTCCTCGGTCCACGGGCGGGTACTGCGGGATGTGAACCACCTAACCCCATGCCGCGGATAATAAAGTACCCCCCCCCTTAAGTCGTTAGAGTTTTTATCGTCGGCCTAGAAGGGTTTCAAATATAGGCGGAGGGCGCGGAGGCCGAACTTCATTATCACTGGGAAAGTTCGCCATCGAGGTTACTTCCTTCTCATGTTGAGATAGCAACATCAAGCGAAGCGAACACGTTTTTTCAGGATGTCTCAAGCGAAACCAATAATTTTGGGAGGCAGTCTAAAACCAAACGATCAGTATTTTAAGGATGTCTCAGGCGGAACCAGCAATCATTTGAGGATGTCTCAAGCGAAGCGAAAACTTGTCGAGGATGTCTCAAGCGAAACAAGCATATACTCGAGGATGTCTCAATCGAAATGAGAGATTTGTCGAGGATGTCTCAAGCGAAACAGACAAATATTTCGAGGATGTCTCAAGCGAAACAAGCAATTCGTTGAGGATGTCTCAACCGAGACAAATCATTGTTGAGGATGTCTCAAAGAGGACCAAAGACCAAGGATCCTCAAGATATCTTTGGCTTTTTCCTCTTGATATCTCTTTATGCTGGCTCTGGCGGGCAACTTTTATTATCTCCCCGAAAACCCCGAACTTTATTATCCCTGTGTGTTTATTATCCGTGGTTTTCGGCTAGATGCATGGCGGCTAATCGACGCGAAGACGTCTTGGCAAGGCGTGGATTGCTAAACGAAGGAAAGCTGTCGCAGAAGATACGGTCCCATCGAATAGTGCTCTCCCGAAGCATCATCCCGACCCACTTCGTCAAGGCGCCAAGCCACCGTCAGGTATAGGAAAAGGATTGACGATAATCATATGTAGACCTTCGGCCCAGCCAACCACCGTGCCTGGATTGTGGATCAGATGCGTTGTGGATGCCTCTTAGGGTCACTTGGGATGCCTCTCGGGTGTCCTCTTGCAGGGCTCTTAGGGGCCTCTCAGGAGCTTCTTGGGGCCTTTGTGGACCCTTCTGGGGGACCTCTGGGTGCTTATAGGGCGCCCGTGGGGCCGGTTGGAAGTCTCGTGAGGCCTCTAGGGGGCGTCTCGGGGGCCTCTGTGGGCCCCTTCGGGGCCACATTTCGGGGGTCTTGGGCTCTATGTGATGGCCTTCGGCCCATCCCGCCTCGGTGCCTGGATTGTGGCTATGGGGCTTATTTGATGTTCGTTGGGATCTCGTGGAAGGCTTCTCCGCGGCCTCCTGGAGGCAGTTTGGATTCCTCTTGGGGAGCCGTTTGGGGGCCTCTGGGGCCTCAGTTGGGCGTCTTGGGGGCCTCTTTGGGGCCTCTTGGGGGCGTCTCGGTTTCTGAACGTTCCCGTCGTTTTTGTGTTGTCTTGAGACCGATCGTTTTGAAAGGCTTCGCTGAACATCGTTGCCCACAGCCGCGGTGGTTTGCCCAAGACCATCCTTTGATCTCCCTCCTTCAACCTCGGTGCCTCACCCTTTTTTCCGTTATCCCTCTATCTCTCTGTCTCTGTCTCTTCTCTCTCTCTCTCTCTGTCTCTCTCTCTCTCTCTGTCTCTCTCTCTCTCTCGTCCTCCTCCTTCTCCCGTTCCTCCTCCTCCTGGGGGCTTAGAAAACTTGGCCAGGCGTTGGTTTTTCTGGTTTTTTTCTGGTCTGGGAGCTCAGAAAACCTGGCCAGGCGTTGTTTTTTCTGGTTTTTCTGGTTTGGGAGCTCAGAAAACCTGGTCAGGCGTTGTTTTTTTTCTGGTTTTTGTGGTCTGGGAGCTCAGAAAACCTGGCCAGGCGTTGGTTTTTCTGGTTTTTCTGGTCTGGGGCTCAGAAAACGTTGCCAGGCGTTGATTTTCTTGGTTTTTCTGGTCAGGGAGCCCACAAAACCTGGCCTGGAGGTTGGGGGCTTGCGAACTACTGCCGTCAGACCAGACAAACCAGAACAACCAACGCCTGGTCAGGTTTTCTGAGCCCTCAGACCAGGAAAACCAGAAAAACCAACGCCTGGTCAGGTTTTGTGGGCTCCCAGACTAGAAAAACCAGAAAAAACTACGCCTGGCCAGGTTCTGCGAGCTCCCAGACCAGAAAAAAACGCCTGGCCAGGTTAGCGGGAGCTTGCAGGCGAGGGCGGGGCGAGGACAATCCTGGCGAGGAAGGGGCGAGGAAGCGGCGAGGAAAGACAGACAACTCGAAGGTTCATCTCAGAACCCGCCAAAAAGGTAGATCTTCGGGGGGTGCGACCATGTAGTTCACACCGTGCCCTGTTCCAGTCATCCCTCCTCCTCCTCCCTTCTTCCTCGTTATCTTCCTTCCCCTCCGTTGTCCCCCTTCCTCATTTGTCCTACTTGCGTCGTGTGCCCGTGGTGAATGTGAAGCACAGATGAAGCGCAGCTATTGCACGGAGTATTTTAAGTTACCACCGCCCCCAAACTACAGTTGACGGGAGAGAAGGCGGGGCGTAACGCTCCAGATAACATAGGGGCGAAATGCCCCAGCCAGGTGCGGGGCGAAATGCTCCAGGGGGCGGAATGCCCCACATCACGCAAAGGCGAAATGCTCCAGCCAGATACGGGGCGAAATGCTCCAAGGGGCGTAATGCTCCAGATCACGTAGGGGCGAAATGCTCCAGATCACGTGGGGGCGAGATGCTCCAGCCAGATACGGGGCGAAATGCTCCAGGGGGGCGTAAAGCTCACACCAGTCGGAAGCGAAACAATCCCAGGCAAACAACAGACGAAATGCTCCAGAGGAGCGCAGCACGACTGTTTGATCCTTATCCTGGTCCTCCTCCGCTTCCGCGGTTCGTCCCTCTGCCCTGCTCCGCCCCCTCTTCTTGCCTTCCTATCTCCTTCGCTCCCGCCTTCTCGCCCCTCCTTCCTCATCCACACCAACTCCGTTTTTTGTGTTGCAACATATTCTGGCCCGAGCCTGCCTCGACGCAGAACTCGCGGCGCAGCTTCCACGCACCCACGCGGCAGCAATGCCGATCATGCTCCGCCTCGCCTCCTGGCACGCCGCCAAGGCGCTATATATATACCGTTGAAAAGAAATGGGCGACACAATAAAGAAAACACACTTAACACGTGATGTAATGCACAGATACGCGGCTGAATTAGAAAAGCCGTCGGGAACGTCCAGAAACCGAGACGGCCTCTTGGAGGCCTCTTGGGAGCTTTTTTGGGGCCCCGAGCGGCTCTTTTTAGGCCCCCACCCAGCGTCTTGGGCGGAAGGGAGGATGTTTCGTTTGGGTTTTTTTTTTTGATGCCCTTTGGGGCCGTTTTGGGGACGTCTTGGGTCGTTTGGGGCTCTTGGCCTGTCTTGGGGCCCTCGTGGATGGCGTCTTGGGCCCGTCTTGGGGTGGTCTTGGGGGCTTCTAGGGCCGTCTGCGAGCGCCTGGAAGCAGACATGGTGACAACGCCAAAATCTTTCAAACACCAAAGGAACATCACTGATTTTGGCCTCTTGGGGCCCTTTTGGGAGGCCTCTTGGAGGCCTCTTTGAGCGTCTTCGCGGCTCCTTGGGCCGTCTTGGAGTTATCTTGGGCTTCCTGGGGCGATCGTTCGGCGACTGGGCACCCACTACGCTCAAAGACAGCCCTGGGCCCGCCGAGATGCCCCCCCCCCAGAGGTCCCAGGAGGCCTCCAACGAGCTTCCAAGCGACATCCGAGGAGACTCCGAGGGGCATTCAAGAGGCTTCTGGCTCCGCTGTTTGCCAATTTCTTCTTCCTCATCCTCGTCCTCCCCCTCCTCCTCCTCCTTCTCCTCCTCCTCCTCCTCCTTATCCGCTTCCTCCTCCTCCTCCTCCTCCTCCTCCCTCCTGCCTCCTCCCCCTCCCACACCTCCTCCTCCTCCTCCTCCTCCTCCTCTCCTCCCTCCCTCCTCTCCTCCTCTCCGCTTGCTCCATCTCCTCCTCCCTCCTGCCTCCTCCCCCTCCCGCACCTCCTCCTTCCTTACTCCTCCTCCTCCTCCTTGACTCCTCCTCCTCGTTTTTTTTATTATATTATTATTACTATTATCATTATTATTATTATTATTATTATACATTATCCCCTTATTGCTCCTCTTCTCTTCGCCCCGCGCCCCCTCCCTTTCTCCTTCCCCTCCTCCTCATCCTCCTGCTGCTCCTCCTCTCTCCTATCTCCTCTCCTCTGCCGTCCTCCTCCTTCCCCCGTTTTTCCTCTCCTCCTCATACCTCCAGTCTACTCCTCCTCCTCCTCCTCCTCCTACATCCTCCCCCTCGTGGGGTACGACGTCTTCTCCAACCCTTCATTCCATTGTATTCTATTCCACGTTCCTGATCAGGGCAAGTCGTCTGGGCATTGTTTCTGAATGGGACTGGTGTTTTTTTTGATCGCAACCGCAAGCGGACAGCCGCGCGGCGTCGGAAAGTCGTGCGAAGAGCGTGCGCCAGTGCAAGAGCACAGCGCAACTGTCGCCGGCGGAACGCGGAAAAATGATATGGCCACCAAGCAGAAGGTGCGCTAGAGTGGCGAAAAAGGGGGCAGGCGACGCACAACGGCACCGCGAGCGAAGCGAAAGAGAACGAAGAGCCAATGAGAAGACGAGAACGACGAAAGGAGGGAGAAATAGAAACGCACGCAGCGCCGCTCAGAGGCGGAGGGCAGGGTCGGTGAACGCCAGGGACACGTCATCCTCTAAGTTCACGCGCGAGCTGGTGGGGTTACGCGAAGCGTTTAGAATTCGACGCGAATTATGAGGCCAACATATCCCCATTCTGCGGAGCGCTCCCCAATCCACGCATGCGGGTAGCTCGGCGGCAGTGCGGCCCCCAGTGGAAGCCGCCGACGTCGTGCTTCAGGAGGGCACTGGCAAAGGCGCACAGGCGTCAGTCAAGGGCGGTGCGTTTGTCGAGTTTGAGGAAGCCTGTGCGGCCCGGATTGGAAGTTCCAATCGTGGAATGCGGAGCGGCAGGCGTGCGGCAGTGGGGGAGGGGCAGGCGGTGCAGGCAACCCTCCGACATGCGGGGGAGCAGAGCCTTGAGCGAGCGGCAGACTGTAGCCAGGGGGGGGGGGGGGGCGGGGGGGCGGAGGAGCAGGGGAGGAAGGACCACGTCCCGGAGAAAGCTGCGGAGGGTTGCGACTAGGGATGTTGGGCGAGAGATGGATAGCACTCAGGGGCGTGCCTGCGAATCACGCCAGGCCGTAGCGAGTTCCAGTCGCCAGGACTTGAACCCACCCAGCACATGGCCAGGTTGCGCAGCGCTTGGAGGGCGGCCGTGACCTGTTGAGCCATGGGCCGACAGCCCAACGCAGGGCAGCCCCCGGCGAAGTGCACGCTTATGTGGGGCTTGATCCACTGAGCGGGAGGTCGACTGGGACCACCCAGCGCGCGCGCGAGAAGGAACAAAAAGCAGAACCAGGGAGGGGGCGCATCGCCCCTGTGAGGCAGGAGTGTGCCCGCGCGCAAGAGAAGTGGCCAGGGCATGCAACCACAGGCCGCGTCAAGTGTGCACGAGAGGCCGCATCGTGACTGAGGCAGGCTGAAGCACGCAGTGTGGGAACGCAAGGGGCCGCATCACCACTGTGAGGCAGGATGTTGCACGCGAGCGAAACACGGCGCGGCACGCAGCACCAGCAAGGCACTGCGCGACACGTCGCCCACATGGCACACCCGCAGCACGGCCATGCGGCCGGTGGCAGGAACGCGCAGCTCACGGAATGCCGAAATCGTGTGGCTTCCACGCTTGCATCTACCTTCTGCACGGAGGGCCTCAACATCGTAGCCTTGCTGGGCAGACAACGCTGGCAAGGGAGGGGAAGGAGGAGGAGGAGGAGGAGGAGGAGGAGGAGGAAGGGGAGGAGGAGGGAGGAAGGAGGAGGAGGAAGAGGAGGAGGAGGATGAGGAGGAGGAGGAGGAGGAGGAGGAGGTGAGGAGGAGGAGAGGAGGAGAGGAGGAGGAGGAGGAGGAGGCGGAGGAGGAGGAGGAGGGGAGGAGGAGGAAGGAGGAGGAGGAGGAGGAGGAGGAGGAGGAGGAGGAGGAGGAGGAGGAGGAGGAGGAGCGGAGGAGGAGGAGGAGGAGGAGGCAGGAGCAGGAGGAGAGCAGGAGCAGAGGAGGAGCAGGAGCAGTGAGCAGGAGCAGGAGCAGGCAGCAGCAGGAGCAGGAGCGGAGGCAGGAGCAGGAGCAGGAGGAGGAGGGAGGAGGAGGAGGAGGAGGAGGAGCGAAAGAGGGAGGGGGAACGAGGGAGGGAGGGGATGGGAGGACGGAGGAAATAGGGGGGGAGGGAGGGGGGAAAAGGGGAGGGGGGAGGGAGGAAAAGGGAGGGAACCCAGACGTGCTCCCTTGCCCAGGCTCTTGGCAAGCTTCTGTTCGACAGGGGGGGGGGGGGGGCGCGGGGGGCCCCCCCTTATGGCCCAGTTTCTTTCAGAAAGGTAGAGTGCTGCCCCCAGGCGACAAATGACAGGCAAAGCAGGCGCATGAGACAACCTGTCTTGCAGTGCATCGCCGTTCTCAAGAGAAACCATGGCTGCAGCAAAATGTGGACACGGGGCCGCGTCTCCACAGGCAGGAGTATGTACGCCGCGCGAGCTCGAGGGGCCGCACCACCACTGAGGCGCGAGTGCGCGCCTTGTTTTTTGTTTGTGTGTGTGTGTGTGTGTGTGTGTGTGTGTGTGTGTGTGTGTGTGTGTGTGTGTGTGTGGGGGTGTGTGTGTGTGTGTGTGTGTGTGTGTGTGTGTGTGTGTGTGTGTGTGTGTGTGTGTGTGTGTGTGTGTGTGTGTGTGTGTGTGTGTGTGTGTGTGTGTGTGTGTGTGTGTGTGTGTGTGTGTGTGTGTGTGTGTGTGTGTGTGTGAGAGAGAGAGAAATATATTAAAAAGTCTCGTGCACGCAAGGAGCCGCATCGCCACGGAGTTGACGCATGGGCCAAAAACAAAAAAGAACGCGACGGTAACAGGTGCGCGCGCAGGATTGCGCACGCGCGCATGAGAACACACTGGGCCGAATCACCATTGTGAGGCAGGATTTTTGCACGCAGCGCGAGCGAAACGCAGACGGAAACACTGGCAGCAAGGTCTGAAGTAGTGCATGCACAGAGGTGGGTGCGACCATGCAGGACGAGAGCAAAAAGCAAGCCGTTGTAGCGCAACCACGCTGGCAGGGCGTCCCAGCGACGCCTGGTGACCGAGACAGCGGGGCCATCTGGGTTGGTCGCTCCGCCTGTGGTTCGAGGTCCAGGGGGTCACGTGCTCAAAGGCCCCCTAGTCCAGCTGCGCTGTGATCTGGCCCGCCACGAGGCAGTGCGCCCAAGGGCGCCGCAACGCGATCTCGGCTCCCAGGATGGCGCTGGCGGGGCTGGAAGCAGCTGCTGCCGGGCTCGTGGGGCCCAAGCGGGAAAAACAAAACAGCTGAGACTCTCCACGCCTACGTACGATCTTGTGCCCCGCGTAAGTAGCTCAGGGCTGCCAGGACCTCGGGTGTAAAGTAACAGCTGGCGCCGAAAGGCCTGGGGCGCTATTTGGGGCCTCTTGGGGCCGTTTTGGGGGTTTCTTGGGAGCATCTTGGGGCTCCTTGGCGGCGTATTGGGCTTCCCTGGGGCCTCTTGGGGGGCTCTTGGGGGGCCCTTGGAGCGAGAGGGGGGGGGGGGGATCGATTGCAGCGCCCCCGCGGAGGCCACCATCCTCCTGAGGGGTGCCGAAAATAGCGCCCCTCCTGGAGATCGCCCGGGACCTGGCCGGGGGTCAGCCGGGGTACTTTTCGTCCGGGCCCCCCAGGGTCCGCCCCGCGCGCGCGAACTAGAAATATTGTTGAGTAGTTGCCCGAGACCTTAGCATGTCTCTGGCCTGTTGGGCCGGCGAGTGTCAATGTTCTTACTCGGAAGTCCGACGCCCACGACAAACAAGGGTGCGTGTCGCACCACCGACTGCCACTTGAGCCCGCTTCGCCTCGGGCACCTGCCGAGGCGTGACAGATCCTCGACCCCAGAGAGCACGCAAATGTGGTGCCGGGGGGCCCCGCAGATGGAGAAGCCCTGCGGCGCGCCCACGCGCTCCGGGAATGCGGCGCGCCGGCCTTCGTGGGCAAACGACAAGGCTGGCCTTTCGGCTTTCTCGCCTCCCCTCCTGACGTGGCTGTGCGCGTCCGCGCCGCAGCGGGCCGCCGAAGGGTAGCCTTTCGCCTCCGAGGCTCGTCATAATTCCTGTAGTCGCTAAGGACTGCGACGCCCTGTTGGCCCCGTCCGTCCCGCGCGCTCTCGTGCTCCTTGCTGTGGCAGGGCTGTTGCTCCGCTCGCGGCCCTGGTGTCCGCGCTCTCGACGCTCATGCGTCGGGAGGTCGTGCTCTCACTAGCGCGCAGTGGCCTGCGTCCACAGCCCAGGCACGCTGTAACCCCGTTCGCTGGGGGCACTCTCTGGGGGGATGCCGTCACGACGCGCCCCGCCGAAGGGCCGGGGTCTCGTGACTCTGTCCACCTGGCGGTGCGTAACCCTCGCCGCCTAGGCTCCCTTACCCTGGGCACGGATGTGCTCTTGGAGTGGCGCTCCCACGCTGTCGCCCACGTTTTATACGGAAATGGTGCCGACGTTTGAGTGCTTCCAGGTGCGCGCCTGCCCCCTGGTGCGTTTCTACCAGCGGGGTTTCTGTGTTCGTGACTGGGCCCGAGGTTTTGTGCGCAATGAGTTCCGCCAGGGCGACTGGCTGGCCCTGCTACACGAGGCCAACACCACGGCCGGCGCGCGCGCAGCGCCGAGGCCAGCCACAGAGGAGCAACAGCAGGAGAGACGCAGAGAACAGGCTTGCGCGCACGTCCGAAACGGCAGCCCGTCACGGGGGAGACAGGTCTTGACCGCGGCGGCGATTGCGCCCGGCAACGGGGAGACACTAAACAGGCTGCGGGGCCCGGCCCGCCGACCGCCTACCCTGAGCCGCCGACTACCCGCCAACCCCGACCGCGCAACCGACAGAGCGAGACTCGACAAGACCAAATTCCTCGCTTGCCTCCGGTCCGCTAAAAAGGGCACGGCAGCAGAACCATCGGGGTCCGCGTTGAGCACCTCGAGCCGCTGATGGAACACGAAGAGTCCATGGACCTGCTTGGATTCGCCGCCGCTGCCCTCGCGGAGGCGCGGGTGCCCTCCCCGATTCCCCGCGCTCTAGCCCTCTGCAAGATGACGGCGCTCCAGAAACCAGACAACGGAGTACGGGGCATCGCCACTGGCGACGTTTCCCGCCGACTGGTTACCAGGGCGCTCGCTCAACAGTTCGCCGAGCAGTTCCCGGCCGCAACTGCGCCCTTCCAGTTCGCCCTGACGACGCGGGCAGGAACCGACTGCGCCGCCATGCTGCTGAGGTCAGTGCTGGACCACGACGACGACGCAGTGATTGTCAGCATCGATGGAGTCGGGGCTTTCGACCATGTGTCGAGGTCGGCCTTCTTCCAGGAGCTCCTTGCTCGCCCAGGGCTGGCCGGCTCAATCCCCTTTGTGAAGATGTGGTACGGGCAAGACTCCACCTACCTTTGGCAAGACGAAATGGGGACTGTGCACGACGTGCACCAGGGAGAGGGAGTGGAGCAGGGGGACGCGCTGGCCCCAGCCCTCTTCGCTCTTGCCCTGCACGGAGCGCTGGCGGGCGCCTCCAGGACCCTAGAGCAAGGGGACTTCCTAGCCGCTTTCTTTGACGACGTGTACATCAAGACCACAGGGGCCAGGGCCAGAGCCGTTTTCGACACCACCACCGGAGCAATTCACCTCCACGCAAACGTGGATTGCCACCTTGGCAAGTGCCGGGCCTACAGCAGCCCAGAATTGGCGAGCTGGGACAAGACGTCTGGAGGGGTGACAGAGCACCACCCCGCCCGACCGAGGAATCAAGATCCTTGGCGCCCCCCTAGGCACCCGAGAATTCGTCGCCGCACACCTGGAAAGCAGACTACAGGAAGAGAGGCGACTCCTGGACGAACTGGCGCACCTGCCCGACCTACAGTGCGCTTGGCTCCTCCTCCTCCTCCTCCTTTGCGCCTCCCTGCGGGCCAACCACCTGCTGCGAACCCCGCCGCCAGAGGAAATCGCAGAAGACGCGAGAGGCCACGACGGCGACATGTGGGCCACCCTGCGCCGCCTCCTCGGGGACCCCGCAATGTCGCAAGACGAAGAGCGACGGGCGCGCGCACTGGCAGCAATGCCTGGACGACACGGAGGACTCGGGCTCCAAAGCGCCGCGCGCACGTCCCCAGCGGCCTACTGGAGCGCTTGGGCAGACGCCCTACACATGCTCCACCAACGGCGCCCCGTTGAAGCTGCAGCGATCAGGGATCTCCTCGACGGCACCAGGCCCGGCCGTAGGGGCAACCTTGCCGCAGCCGCCGCGGCCGCACAGCTGCTCGAAACCGAAGGCTTCCGGAGACCTTCCTGGGCCGACCTGCTCCAGGGGCTGCGCCCAGAAGCGCCGCCGCGCTCGGAGGCCGCCGAACTGGGGGAATGGCAGCACGGCTGGCAGTTCCACGCTTGTTCCGCACGCAACACACACTACAGGGACAACGTGTTCATGCCCAGCCTCACTAGGGCCAACCAGGCCATGCGAAGGTCAGGCTCAGGCCCGGGACCGCCCAGGATAGGCTCAGGACGGAGGGCCGCCTACTGGCTTCACACCTTGCCCACCACCGAGGGGCACGTGTTCAAGCCCGCGCGGTTCCTGGCAGCCCTGCGCCGGCGCCTCAGGCTCCCGCTGCCGCTCCTCCCGCACACGTGCGGGGCAGCCGGCCGCCCAGGCTGCCGGGCCCGGCTGGACACGCTGGGAGACCACCTAGCCGCGTGCCACTCACGGGGCTTCTCGCCAGACGCGCGAAACTGCTCGAACGAGCTTGGGCGAGGGTCGCCAGAGAAGCAGGAGGGAGAGTTGTCCCCCAACAGCTGCTGCGGGACACCAACGCCGTCGTCCACAACCCGCTGGACCGCAGACAATTAGACCTAGTCGTCTACGGCATCTCGCCGAACGGCGTCCTGCTGTGCTGCGACAGTACCATGGTGTCCCCCCTCCGCAGGGACGGCTGGCACCGGCCGCGCACCTTCGACACCAACGGCGCCGCGCTACTTGGGGCCGAAAGGCGCAAACGACGCAGGTACCACGAACATTCAGGCCGCCTCATGGTCCTCTCCTGCGAGGTCGGAGGCAGGTGGGGCCGCGATTCCCTCCAGCTGGTACGCCTGCTTGCCAAGCAGACGGCGCGGGCCGCGCCGGCCCTCCTCCGCCGCTCCGCGGAGCTCGCGTACACCAACCGCTGGTGGGGGTTCCTGAGCGTCGCGGCCCAGGACTCGCTCATGGCCACCCTGACGGGCGACGGCTACCTAGCCTTGGGGGGGGCCTCCGGGGAGGACGACCCAGACCTGGCCGAAGTGCTGCTCGCAGACTCCGCCGGCCCACCCGCTAGCCGCCTGCCAGCACGCCCCTGATGCGCGGCGCCGCGGCCAGCACGGCCGCCCCGGGGGGCTCCGACGAGCGCCGGGAGCACCCCCGACACGGCAGCGGGCACCACGAGGAGGTCAGCAGTACCACCACCACCACAACGGCGACCAGCAGCACCATCGCTTCGACTGCGACCCGCAGCAGAACCACCACCAACACCACCACCACGAGAGCGACCCGCAGCATCACCACGACCACGACCAGGAGCACCACGACTGCGACCAGC